CGGACTTATTTTTTCTAATCTCATTACTACTTTTAACTGTTCGTCTGCACTTCCGGAAAGCGTCGAATGCGCCCGCTCTTTATTTCACGTAAACTGAAAGTTTTGAAATATATGCTTCTTTCTTGTTTGGACCAGCCTTCGGAATGTTTTGAAATAGTTATATACATGGCATTATTAACGGATACATAGGAAGCACAGTGCATAAAAGACTCGTAACAGGCACACTAACAATAACTTAAGGAGATATTGTAAATATTGTGTCAAAATCCTGTCTGTTATTCAGCATTGTTTTGAAAACTAATTACACATATGAAACATTTTTGTTCATCTATTAAAAACAGTTGCTAAAACATGTTGCATAGTACCTGTACTGCTTATGAGGAAAGTAAGATGGCATTTTAATGTTCTTGGACGTTAGACCATAGAACTCTCTACCTCGTTATTTTATCCTTTCACGTTAGATAACCTAAAGTTTGAGCAAGAACAGTTCCTATTCCGATAAATATTCTAAAATGTTAATTTTCGCATCGATAAAATCTCTGGCTCTGTACATTATTTCATCTTTTCTAAAATGTCATTATACCAAGTAAAATAAGAATGTAAAAGAAAATTTCATTCCACGTTTTATACCTTGCCAGGCATATTATATAAGAAATAAATAGAAATGTACGTATGTCGTACTTGATTAAAAATCAAGTAATGAATAAAGTCTGAGTCAACACAAACAGAGTAGTTTTCTGTTTTTCGAAAGATAGTTCAGGTGAGATAGGAATAAACATATGTCATTTTCTGTAACTTCTATAACAGCTTGTCTGTATTGTAAAAAAAGTCCCTGCAAATGTGTTTAAATGTACCTAAAATCAATCTGTGGTCTAACCATGTTCCATAATATTTAAAAGTGTTCGAAATATTACTCATTTGCAGATTTCTTGATAGTTATATAATTGGTTTTCAAAGGATAACACCACATCCCCTCACTGTCAAGGTACAGGCCATGCTTATATCCGTCAGTCTTTACGTAATCCATGCAGAACTGGACAACACGTTCATCAAATGGGGACTGGTCTGCACACCGCCCGTTAAAACAACCTATAGAGACGGCTGTTCCAACCTCTGCCAGGGTCGGTAAAACAACGTGGATGACAACTTCATCTTGCTGAACTGTAGCCTTAAACGTAGTAAACGACGCGTTTATCACGTCCGCAATACCCCCATTTAAAAGAAGATCTTGCCAGACTTCAAATAACAACTTGTGATTTGCCAACTTAGGTGGAAAGAAAACCTCGGTGCATTTTAGAGACGCGGCTCCAACGAGGCTCACTGCATGGTTATGTAACGCTATAACCATCTGCCCTCCTGGTTTAAGAATGGCATATATTGCAGAGATGGCTTGCTTCATATTCTCGTATGGATCAAAGGGATCATCGAAGATACTTGTCAGATGATATAGGACGTGCACTGCCAGCACCCTGTCCTGCAACTGTTGTGGATAGGCTTTCATTACCCTCAAATCTTGTACAGAATGTCCATAGTAATCTTGAAATAACCCAGAATATGTGATATCAATGGACGCCTTGCCAATATTCTCAATCAACTTCATGTACTCTGTCAGAGAACCCTTGTGTGGTTCTTCCACGCTGATGATCATTTGCTTATTAAGGGCGTCTAATTTTCTGTAGATGGGTTCCATTGTTTCTCCTGTTCCTCCTCCAAAGTCCATGATGCGTACTGGTGATGGGAGCCCTAACAGGTTCAGAGCGCTCCATAATTTGGTATCTAGTTCTTGGAGTGGAAAACTTATATCCCCTTCTTTCATTCTGAAATGAAAAGCGACGAACAGGGTACAAAAATATACAAACACCCACTCCCGCACAAAAGAAGGTCTTTTTAAATGTACCGGTATGTCAGGCCCGTAGCCAGGGGGGTTCGGGGGGTTCGAAAGAACCGCCCCTTTTGCTGGGAAAAGGTCCACTCTGGGTAAATTTTGATCTAGGTACATAAAGTATTTATGGGAAAAGGTCCACATTTTCAGAAAAAGAACCCCCTTTTGAAATTGCTGGCTACGGGCCTGTATGTACACGTATTTCATAATTTTTAGGTTTACACCGAACTAAATACTATAAGAAAATAACTTGGGGGATTTCTAGTACTTCTTTTTACCTATACATCACAAAAAGAGACATAATACTTTAAACTATAATAGTGACAACTACGTGGTTCGTGGAATTGCTATACACACAAAATTGTTTAGGACTAAGGGTGCATTCCCAGAGATTTAGATCGATCCAGAGATTAAGATTTAGATCAACCGAACTCCCTGGGGGTTCACGCTAAATTGTAGTCAGCCGAGTTACCATAGTTAATTACCCCCTTACAGCTTTTAGTAGGCGAGGCAGACGCTTTTAAAGCCGGCTAAGCTGACAATAATCTAGTGAGAGACTCCCCACAGGGATAGATCGATCTAAAATCTATGGGAATGGGGTCTAAGGGCGTATAGATTACTGTCAGATAATCCGGTTAAAATGTCCGCCCCGCCAACTACAAGCTGTAAGGGGGTAATTAACTTTCGTGCCCGCTCGGCTGACAGCCATTCAGAGTGAACCCCCAGGGAGTTAGGTCGATCTAGTTTGGATCGATCTTATCTCAGGGAATGGGGTCTAACATTTACAAAGAATATTCGTGTAGGTTTACAAGTGAGAAGAGGTGTCAGCGATGGTAGTCCTAGGAATGGAAGTCAGAAGTGCCATATGATTAGTAGAGGCTAGAGTTAAACCTACCATCGCTATCTTGTTTTATTGCATCGTTTACCGATATTTGTCTTAGAAAACTAACCTCTTTGAACTAAATTCAAGCCTAGACTGATGTACTGCTTGTTCAGTTGGACCTAGTAAAACTGTCAACCCAATGTACCTAATCATTTTTGGGTTTCGCTGATCATTTGTAGCCCACCGATATCGATAGTCGTCACCCTCTTGTTTTATTGTCAAATTTACCTATATTTTTTTCCTTAGAAAACGAACAAATTTTGAACTACATTAAGTTCAACGCTTATGCTAATCAACTGCTTCCTTAGCCGTGCCGAGTTGAACTACCAACACATTGTACAAATTCGTTTTCCTGTTTACGCTCAGCAGAAGTTGTGGCCCACCGATTACGTTCCGCGCCGGTATGTTATTTTATTGTCCAAATTACTTATGAAATTTTCATAGAAAACGCAATGGCGGATTTAGAGGGGGTCTGGGGGTCAGGGGGGTCCTGACCCCCCTTTGATTTCTGGCCACCTCTTGAAATTAGAATTTTGGATAGCTGAATCATGGTTCTAAACCGTACCAAATGGCACCTAAAATACCAAACATTTCAGGGGCCCTTCAGCGGGCCCCGAACCCCACGTCAAATGGGGAGCGGCTTTCCATCCGCAGACCCCCCCCCTTCAAATTAACCTGAATCCGCCCCTGAAACGAGTGTACTACTTACTGAATTCCCAATAAATGATAACAGCGGGTGATTAACTCATCACAAATATTAACCCCAGCGTATAGGAAAATAATATGCTTGCGTTAGACCTAAGGTAACAAGGCCTTTCAACTCGGTCGTTCACCGCCAATTCGAATGCAACGAAGGGTTGAAGGCAATTTTTTCGTTAAAACCTGCTCCAAAACATTGCAAAATTTATACACACTTAAACCCTTAGTTACATGTAGTTTCCCCTTCTGTGCATAAATGCCCAATCCTGTCGTTTCGTCTATACTAGATCAAACTAAGATTTAGAGTGGATTTTTTCCGACCAAAAGGACATTAATCTGAATCACCTGAAACAACCTCCTGTCTAAAGGCTCGAATAAATACAATGTATGCCATAAGGGAATTTTTAATATTTATACAAACATACCGCAAAGAAAAAAAAGACAAAAACAAAATCAAAAAACTCACCCTCTGCTTAGAATACAGTACACTCGGTAGTAAGCCTGTGAGAAGGTATCTGATCTAAATTCTTGGAGAAGTCTATGCTGCACATCTTGCTCTTTTGGAGATTCCTTCATTTTTTGCCCAATAAAAGGAAGTCAGTCAAGAAATGTATACTCAATCAGCAATAACTCGTCGTCTCACAACTCAGCCCAGGAGCCTTTGTGGCACTGGTGACGTGATGGATAGGCAAGTTTGCTGGCGGAGTCGAGCAGTGAAGAAGTCAAGTGACGAGGGTCGGGGTCCAGTAACGAGTGGGGTGTGCAGTAAGAGGCTGTTTGAATGACTGTTTGAATCAGCAATATAAATGCACCTCTCCAATGATGTAATTATTCGGACTACAATTAGTTTACATCAATTTTCAGGTTTTATCTCGTTGACAGAAAAGTCTGGCATTTCTCTACTGGCAGCGATTGAATAGAATTTACCTGGTTCTTTCACACGATCAGATGGCCCTTTTATCTGCCAGTATCTTTACTGCGAATGGAACTTAATTAGATACGATCTTCACAGTGAAGTGAAATAGTTTATTCTCATTTACTGTACATTTACAGTTTAGAGAGC